GCAAGTAGCATAACTGTGGACTGAACTTCTCAGTGTAGATGTGCAGGATGGTTTTGGGGAGGGCACGATGTCCATCCCTATTTTTACAGAGGGAGCAACTGAGCACTGACCAGCTTATTGTGTCAGGCAGCATGATGAGTCCCCAACACCTATGAATTTGTTGCTATATTTTACCTTGACTATTTACCAAAGGCATGATACTGAAGGTGTTCAACTCAAAAATCACTTTATGGGTCTCGTATGATGCTTGCAGCATCCCCATTCAGCAACTAAATAACTCCTGTTCTCAGGAGGATAATACAGAGGCAAGGAGATCAATAATGAATATTTGGCAGATTTTGATAAGCCTTGAGGGTGAGACCCCTTTGTTCACTGGAGAAATGAGGTGGGAAATCAATGTTCATATGGTCCCTGCACCTCTCGCTCAGTCGCTCTCAGGACGCTGGGGTGGCTGTAGCTACTGCACTTCTGTTTGCTGAAGAGGTGGATGAGGAAATGATCAGAGAGGGTAGGATGTGGTTAAAGCCTCGGTTTGCTAACTGGGGCTAATGTTAGGGGAGCATATTATGCCTCACATCCATTAAGGCCTCCAGCAATCACCTCCCACGAAGGCGAAGGAGCAGCGGAGAAGGAATTGTGACTTCCTGAGTCCCAGTAGCTCCTGGAGCTGTTCCTGTTAATATTCAATTATGTGCTGCCCTGGACTTAGAGCACTGAATTACATCTCACTCCAGCCCTGAGGCTCAGCTGCAACAAACACAGCTGCAGGAGGGCTGAGCCACGGAGAGAAACAGCCCCAAAACACACCTCCAGCCGTCTGTGTAGAACCATCCACCCTCTCCAGGCTGCGAGACTTTGGGGAGCTGCTCGTACTGTGAGCTGTGGGCAGGGTCATCAAACTCTTTTCCCCCTGTTTTTTACCCTGGATGTGCCAAGTGACCACAGAACGCTCTGCATGTGCTTCCTCCGCATCTCACACCACACACCTTCTGCTATGGCTTTTCCTTCATCTCCCCCCCCCAACCCTGACTGTCTCCCATCCCTGTTGACCCACCCACCCTCTGATAAACCCCTTCCACTTCCAGATCATGGTATTAACTTGACATTTGCAAAAGGTCACTGTGTTTGCTCTGCCTGAGTGTTACATTGCTCACTCTTTTGTTGTTCTGAGTTGTAAGCCCTTCAAGGCAGAGGTTATCTCCTAGAGTGTGACTACACAGTGTCCAGGAAAACGAGACCCCTGGTCTCAGTTGGTGTCTAACAGCTGTAACAAAGATAATACCGGGCTCCTCAACGGAGAGGCTGGCTCTAATTTTATAAATTAATCCTCAGAGGTTAATGAATCTTAACTTATATGTAAAAGCCTTCCTTCCAGAAGAGGTCCATAAGCAGGATCACAACCAACATCTTAATTTCAAAGAGCACCAGCGCCAGATCCCTCCTGTATTTCCAGGAGTCCGTTTGGGCCATGTGGTATTGCTGGAGCATATGCCATTTGCTGCAGGAACAAATGTGGGACATAAGGGAGGTGACACACAATACTTACTTTGTGCATCCAGTTTATGCAGATGAAGTTCTGGCTTTTTTTAGCCTGGGCTTTGTCACGCTGAAACTGTTGCATCAGATTAATAGCAATGGAGATGAGCATGTATGACACGTGTTTGGGTGTCTGTCCTGCGGTGGTTGGTGCCAGCAAGGTGCAACTGGTAGAGAAAGGGCACACGAATTAAGCCCTTTGCTCTCAGGTAAGAATGGATCTGATCCCATCCACAGTCCTGACCTGACCAGCATCCCTTGAGGAGAAGATGCAGGGCTGGAGCTCTCCCATGCCATAATCCCTGGGAGGGCTCCAGCCAAGCAGGGACTCAGCACGCTTCCCTTCTATCCATGAGGAGACACTCCAGGCTTGGCTCTTCTCAAGCATAAACCAACTATGAGCCTCAGCCACAGCGAGGCTACACCAGAAAGGAGGACGGGAGAGTGGGGCTGCGGGACTGGGCAGGCTGAGCTTGTGGTTGAGGCTGCTCCTCACCTCATGTTGGCATCGCAGTGGAAATGCATCTGGAAGAGCTGCACGGTGCTGATGGGGGATCTTTGCCTTTAGCTTTGGTGCCAAGACCAACAGAGCACCAGACTGACAGCCGTGCTGGCTCTAAGAACAGCCCAACCTGGCTCCTCTGCCATAGTTTGTTTTGAGACTGACATGAAGCCAGATCGTTCACAAAAAGAACGTACAGCCTTACCCAGGTACTAATTTTCTCCTTGCATATGGTGAGACTCCTTAAATTCCTCTACTGTTTTGGTTTGAAAATTACTTCTTCCCAGAGCTACCCTGGCTCCTCTGCCTCTCCATGATATACCCCTTGCCTGCCAGGATACTAGGCTAGGCTCAGAGTCACTACACACGGATTAATTGCCTGGTACGGATGGGTTGGGTGGCTGGAAGGTGGCTGCCAAACCCGGAGGTGTTATGCCTTAGTTCTGCTTCAGTTTATGATCCCAGTCTCTCTCCCTCCTGTCTGTGTGCAACTTGCAGGAATATAACTGTCTCTGAAATATCTGCTTCCTCCCAAATTCATCTGATATTCATTAATGGGCTCAGAAGCTTTTGGGAGAGGGGGATGGACACACATGCACGGAAAGGCAGCACAGCAGAACCTTTATTTCCTTAGGGAAGCAGCCTAAAGAAATATTAGCATTTATTCTCCTCTGTTGCTGAGCTTACGACCCACACAAATAACAGGGAATAGCAAGCGAGCAGCCGACTGCAGAATGGGAACAGGGAAAATGACTCAGCAGGCTTGGCACTGATCTGGAGAATATGCAGGTACATTATAACCTCGCTTGAGCATCAATCTGATCCGTGACATGACGTAGAAACAGCAGCTACTGTGGATATTTGCATCCGACGGAAACATTCCTCCTGATAAATGATTTAGCTCTGCTCTTGCAAATAGTTATATCCAGGAGCAGAGCAGGTGAGAAGCTGCTTTCATATTTGCCATGAAAGGAGAGAAAAAAGTTCAATGAAAACCTCTCACTGCTTTCTAAATACCCTTTTTTATTTTTTTCCCCCTGTTATCAGTCGACAAATAGCTGCTGAATTATACTTTCATGCTTTGTTCGTGTCATTTTCCCCAAGATCAGTATTTCCTGCTACATCACCTTAGAAACTCGATCAACAAACACTCTGCTCGACACATAAACAAAGCTTTATTTTACCCTATTTTTGACAGCAACCATCGTTTTAGAAACCAGAACATTTCAGGTTCTCTGGGCTATTTGCCTCAATGTCACAATTTGGTTTTGGTTTTGAGGGCCTGTCAGCATTGTTTATACCCAGATCTTTAGGAATAGTGATGTTTTTGTGTAAGTGGCAAAGAAAATATATTGTTGCAAACTGCCTTCTGGAATCAGACTTTCTTTTCTTCTATGAAGAGTCTAAATGAAACTGCACTTTCTAACACACGGGAACTAAAGAGTGAAATGAATTCGAAAGAGAAGTGAAACGAGAAGATTCAGTTTCAATAACAAAAATGAACCAAAAAGAAGCAAAGACAACTTTGAAAATTAATCAGGACCATCTCCAAAGCTCTAAGCTCCAATAAAATCCAGGAGTGTTATCTCTAACAGAACAACTGAAGAACTTAGCAGGCCCTTTAAATACTTCCTTATGGAATAGCATAAAATCTTGTCCTGACCTCATGACAAGGTCTTTGTTTTATTGTGAAAAAGCAAGACCAGAGCCTCATAAAGTTTTCTTACTTGGTTTTACAAGATGAGCATTTCCCAGGTAGCTGCTGTGAAAACACAAATTAATCCAAGAGCAAACAGGGGATTTTATTTGGCAGTTTTTAAAAACCTGCACAAGAACCCCAGCTACTGAGCCTCCTGTGATCTGCTACCACACAGAGTCCATCAGTTAGGGATTAATTTTAAGGCAGATATTAAAGCCTATCACATGATGAAGGATTTTCCTATATGTGGACTTCAATGGGATGCTTTAAATCCTGTGCGTGCGCGGGTATACACGTTTTTGTGCACGCCGGTGTTTGTTCAAACCTTTTCCATTCACAGGCAGACACAGCCTGAGGCTTCTTCAGGCCTTTCCAGGGAACAGAAACTCGGGAGGGGAGGGAGAGAGAAGGGTCATGTTTAAACCTCACGTTTTTAAAAGTAAGTTTTTGAAGGAGACAGGCTCAGGTGGAAGGAGCCAAGATCGTAAGGATTTTATAACTAACATAATTTTTTAAGAGGAGGCAGAATCCCTGCTCTTTCTTAAGTGCAAGATCTCCTTGCAAGAATTTAAAGCAAATTAGGGGAAAAAAGCGCCCTTTTTACAGAAATGCATCGTTTTGCTTTCCTACTGGGCTGTAACCTAAAGCGTCTTGGCTTGAGAAAATGAAATAAAGCTGAGTGATGGTGCGCTGTCACTGCTGCTGCCGACACTCTGCCTCCTGCAAATCTCCCGACATCGTGCACCGATCTCCCGGTCAGAGCCCGGGAAGCGAGCGGTGCCTCCTCCTTCCAGGCTCGATCCTGCGCCACACGAACTTACCCTCCGGCTTTGTAAAGCACGGCCGGGGTTTGCAGCGAGCGGCTCTGCCCGAGGTGCCGCTTCCCAGGGCTGGTGTGGCGAGGAAACTCTTCCCATGACACAGCAGAACAGCAACAGCAGCAGCAGAGTAAAACAGATCAGTTCTGGCAGTGCTCCTGGAAGACTACTTTTTATCCCAGCTCCAGCCTCGTCCTCCTTTCAGGATGAATTTGAAAGAGGGAATACGGAATAAAAAGAGGCTTAGTGAGGCAGGGAAATAAGGCCCAGGGAGATGGGAAACAAGGCAAGCTGGAGCTGGTCTCCACGGCACGGGGACAGCCTGGATAAATGGCAGAAAGGAATCCAGAGGAAGAAATCCCCCCAAAATTGGATGGGAAGGAGGGATAAACACAAACGTTGTGTAGAGTGGATGAATAGAAGACTCTGAGAGGAAGGAAGGAAAGAAAGAAGGATAAACTGTTTCTTACTTTATTAACTCTTTTCAGTTAAAATCATTACTAATTTTTACAAAATCTCTGAAAGTTTTGATAAAATAATAGCAGAGGTTATCTGAAACGCTGATCTGTAGATACACAGCTCATTTCACGGGCACTTGAAAATGAGAGGGGCAGAGCACAGGTACTTCAACCCCAAAGCACGAACGGGAGAGAGGAGGGAGATGATCCGCCGTCATTGCAGGATTAGGCCTGGATGGCCGGGCAGCTCTGGTCCCCTCCCGAGGCTAACAGGTACCAGCATCAATCTGGCAGTCGGAAAAAAAAGTCGTTTATACGAATCCCACCAGGAAAACTCGGTGGGACACCGAAGAAATTAAATCCCCAACTTAAAATTTGTTGCACCTGTGGGTCGTGCTTTGATCTGCCGAGGGGCTGCTGGAAGCTGTAAGGAAGGAGGGAATGCGGAACTGCTTTTCCTCCTTCAGTTTTTGACAACGAATCCATCCCCCCCTCTCAATTCAGCCCCTCGAGCCTTGCACTTGACCACCAATACCGACGTGATGCCACCGGTTCGGGAGCGGAATTTGGGGACCTCCCGCAGGAACCTTTCACGGGGAAAACCCCGAGAGCGCGTTGTCAGCCCGGCGGCGGGAGCGTGGAGCGGGTGGGCTTTATCTCCCGGATCCCAAATCCTGGGGGCAGAAGGAGAGCGGGGAATAAAACCCACTTCAGCACCGCAGGCGGAACAGCAGCCGGAGGAACGCGGCGCTGCCGCCGGCCGGCCCCGCACCCCCGGCGGGATGCGCGGGGCACCGGGGGCTGCCCGAACCACGAGGAATGTCGGCACCTTCCCTTTTCCCTTCCGTAAGGGCTGGCTGCTTGCTGGCAGCGTTGCAGCGGCCGGCGCGCATCCCTCGGAGCGGCTCGTTCCAGCATCCCGGCGCACAGCCGGCTGTCGGGAGCCGGCGGTGCGACGGGTCGGGACGGTGAAATCGCTTCGCTGCCGACTGGCAGAGTTAAAGCTCGGCGGTGGCGACCACCGCATCGACTCTGCACCGGCAGCACCGCTCACATCTGCGACTCCTCAGTCCGACACAAACAAGTTTGGGTTCTCCCTCCCCCCCATTTTTGTTCTTTTCTTTTTCTTTCCCTTTTTTTTTTTTCCCCTTGGTTGTTTTGTTTTTTGGTTTTTTTTCTGCCACTTCCAGCATCCGAGACCCACCGCGGCCGCAGACGAGCCCCGCATCCCGCACCCTCCAGTAGCGGGGTCCATCCCCCCCGCACGGTGCCTGCCTGGTTGTTCCACGCAGCGACCGGTGCGAAAAGAGGAGGAGAAAAAAAAAATAAACCAAACCGACAAACCCCAAACCAACCTTAATTAACAATAATAATAACAATACTAATAAAAGAAGCAAGCGCAGCAACTTGCTTTAAGCAGAGGGCGTAGGAGCGGAGAGCGCAGCCCCCCGGGGAGGGCAGGCGGGGAGCGCAGGGAGGGCAGGCGGGCACCGCCGGGGCTCGCAGCCCCCCGGGGGTACCGGCGGGTCCGGCGGCGGACGTGGAAGTCCCCTTTAAGTTTCCATAGAGAGGCCTCCGGGTGTCACATGATGGACATGATATAACGAAACAACATCGTGGGGAGGAAGGGAGGGAAGCAGTGGGGGAGCCCGGGGAGGCGGCGGGGTAGGCGGTGGTGCCCCCCGACCCGCCCGCCCCGGCTGCACCTGTCTCGGCGCGCCGGGAGCGCGGTGTCCGCCCCGCTGATGGGGCTGCGGGCGGCACCTTCCCTCGGGGAGGGGACGACGAGGAGGAGGAGAAGGAGAGCCGGTGGCGGAGGTAAGTTACCGGCGGGACCGGGGCGGGGGGCGCGGGGCGCGGTGTGCGGGGAGGGGATGCGGGGGGGGTGTGTGCGCGGGGTGCCCGCGGTGTCCCCGCGGAGCGCCGGGCGTGTGCGCGCCCTCCCGCCCTCCATGTCCGCATTCCAGCTCATGTTGCGCAGATAAAATTCAAACTTGAGGTAAACACAAGCGGCGGGGGGGGGACCGGAGCGGGGGGGGAGAAAGGGGGGCGGGGAGCTTGGTGGGGAGGGAGGTTCGCTCCTCCATCCCGTCTCCATCCCAGCTCCATCCCGGCTCCCGCCGCCCCCTCCCCGCCGCTCCCCCCGCTCCGCACCCGCGGAGCCCCCGCGCACCTGGGGCAGCGCCGGCACCGCGCTGCCTCCCGCGGGCAGGGAGAACCGAGGGAGAGCCGAGCGCCCCTCTGCCCGCACCACCGGTAGGACACGGCGGGTCGGGGGACGCGGCAGGTGCGCGGGGCGCTGTCGCGACATGGCTGGTGGGGGGGGGGGGTGCGCGCGTCGCGACATGGGGGAAGCAGCCAAGTGACAGCGCGGGGTGGGGGGGGGGAGAAGGACGGGGCTGCGCCGCGTTGTTCTTCCTCGTTGGTCCGTGGGTATCCCGAATGGAGCGGGAATAGCAGCGATTGCCCCCCGACCCCCCTTTTTCTCCATACGCATTTCCAAGTGCGTATGGAGAAAACAAGATGCGGAGCGGGGCGGGCGGGGGGGGGGGGGGGAAGGCGGGGAGGGCCGCACTGCTGCTCGCAGCCCCGCTCCGTGACACAGGCGGTGCCGCCGCGGGGATATTTAGCGCTTCGCTCCCGGGGGGTGATGATGGAGGCGGCCGAGGGCACCCACAGGTGGGTGCGTGAGGGGAGAGAGCGGGGGCGAAGCCGTGGCCGCGAGGGGAGCGCCGGAGCGGGTCGCGCACCCCGCGGGCTCGCGGCGGGAGTGAAGCGGGGAGTGGGGACGGGGCTTGGGCTGGCGAGTGGCGCAGCTCGGGGCGGCGCGGGGGTGCCGGCGGTGCCGCCATGGCGGGTGTGAGGGAGCGGCGCCCTCAGGGGGGTCCCGGCAGCCCCGCCGAGGGCGGGAAAAGCGCGCGCGGCCCCCGCCTGGCGCCTCCTCAGCACTGCACCAAGGCGGCGGGGGGGGGGGGGGGGGGGGGGGGGGGGGGGGGGGGGGGGGGGGGACCGGCGGCCACGCCCACCGCGCCCCCCCGCCGGCCAATCGCCGTGGGCGGTGCGGCGAGGACACGCCCCTCCTCGCGCGCGCCGCGCCCTCCTGGCCAATGGCAGCGCGGCTGAGGGGGCCCCCCCGGCGCCCCCCTTCGCCCACCCGCCTGTTTGTTACGGCCGGGGCCACGTGCCGCCGCCGCCTCGCGCCCGGTCACGTGGCCCTTGGGACCTGGGGGGTCTGAGGGGGAACTGTGGGGGTCTGGAGCCTCCCCTGTCCGTGCGGGTGTGACAGGGACTGTGAGGGTCTGGAGCCCTCCTGTCAGTGGGGTCTGACAGGGATCCTGAGGGTCAGGAGACCTCCCTGTCCATGGGGTCTGATGGAAACATGGGGTCTGACCAGGACCATGGGGGTGTGGAGCTCTCCTGTCAGTGGGGTCTGACCAGGACTGTGGGGGTCTGGAAGCTTCCCTGTCCATTAGGTCTGCCAGGGACCACCGGGGTCTAGAGCTCTCTTGATGATAGAGGTCTGATGGGGACTGTGGGGGTCTGTAGCCTTCCCTGTTCATGGGGTCTGATGAGGACCATGGGGATCTGGAGCCCTCCGCTCTCCTGTCTGTGGGGGACTGACAGGGACATTGGGGGTCTGTAGCGTTCTTGTTCATGGGGACTGATAGGGATCGTGGAGGTCTGGAGCACTCCTGTCCATGGGGACTACAGGGGTCTGCAGCCTTCCCTGTTCCGGGGGTGTGACCAGGAGCATGGGGTTCTGGAGCCGTCCTGTATCCTGGGGGGTGTGACCAGGAACATGGGGGTCTGCAGGCCTCCTGTCCAGGGATCTTGAGGATCTGGAGCTTTCCTGACAATGGGGTCTGACATGGAACACGGGGGTCTGGAGCTTTCCTGCTCAGGGGAGTCTCATGGGGACCATGGGGGTTTGGAGCCTTCCTGTCCATGGGATCTGACCAGGACTGTGGGGTTCTGGAGTCCTCCTGTCCATAGGGGTCTGACAGGGACCATGGGGGTCTGGAGCCCTCCCTGTTTATGGGGTCTGACAGGAACCAAGGAGGTCTGGAGTTCTCTCTGTCCACACAAATCTGATGGGGGGAACATGGGGGTCTGGAGCCTCCCTGTCCAGGGTGTTTGACAGGGATACCGAGGGTCTGGAGCCCTCCCTGTCCATGGGGTCTGACAGGGGACAGTGGGGGTCTGGAGCCCTCCTGCTCCAGGGGGTCTGACTGGGCCTGGGTCTGCCTACCAGCCCAGGGGGCCTGAAGCCCCGCTGCCCAGGGGAGGTGGCCAGGACCTTCTTGCCGTAGCCTTTCTCACTGTGAGCGTCCATTCTGCCCCGGCCCCATTAAACCTCCTGAAGGGCCTGTCCCTGGCTCTCGGCTCTGTCATGGCCGAGCCGTGACAGCCTGTCCGTGGCTGGCTCTGGCCTCCGGAGAGGGAGGTGTTTCTCTCCCGAGGAGAGCTGTTTATGCCCAGTGATTTTTTTTTTTTGTTATTTTTTTTTATTTTTTTTTCACCTCCCTCTGTGCTCTCCTGCACAAGCCACGGCAGCAGCTCCATGTCTGCCCGGCCTGGCAGTGCTCCGGCACGACTCTTTATGTAGGTGAAGCAGGGAACGCTGTGAGGATCGTGTTGAGCTATCAGTCTCCTGAGCCTGGAGCTTTGAGCCTATTTATAGGTAGGTTGGGCAGTGTTCAGCATGAAGGACTCGTGCCACGTCCGAATCCGTGGCAAAACGGGGTGTTTTAAATGGTGCTGTTTTGTTTTCTGTGGCTGTTCCTAGAAAAATTGGGTTTTATGGAACGCTCCGGAGGACTGGTTGTTAGTAGGTTACGTGGAGAAAGGCGAGTCAGTTTGGAGTTAAGGAACGTGATGCCATTTTAATGCAACTTCTCGGGTGGCAGAGCAAACAGTAAGAGGATACTTGGTTCTAGATCAGCAGCTTTCAGCCTGCAGGCAGTGGGACAACTCACCCGGGGTCCGTGGGAAGCCACGGAGGAAAGGACATCTGTTTTCTGTAGGCTTGCATTCGTTATACAGATTTCTGCACTGCTAAAGATCTTGTGGCCGACCAGCTGAAAAAAAAATATGGAAGTCGGCTTTTCTAGATCACTAAGATGTTTTGGTTTAGAGTAAGTGGAGGAGGAGTGGAAAAAACCTGTCTGTTTGGTTGTGTGTGTTTCTACTGTGCTGCTTCAAAATTCAAAAATTCAGTGTATTTTTAAGAATTACATAACCACTAATAACGTGGTGACTCTCAAGTAGCCTTCAAGAGTTAAATAACAGCAGATCAACGAGGCTGGGTCAAGAAGAGGAAGAGAGGGTTTTATAACGAATGGTGAGCACCATGCACAGATATTTAAAATTGCACTAGAAACGAGTCTTTGGGTAGGAGGAGGATTTTAATGCCCTACAAATATGGAACATGAGAAGGAGGATGGAAAGATGAGGTTTGCAGTTTTATGCTGATCTAGTCCAGTAAATGGATCGGGAAGGGTTTGTGATGCTTCACATTCTTCAGCTTCTCTTCCATCTTGACTTTATCAGTACAGTTTTTTGCATCTGAAATAATGAGAATTTCCAGATACCAAATGCTGTGGGTGAGGAGGGAATAGGGCATTAAAATAAGGAGTGAGGGGCACTGTAGGGTGGAAGAGCTGAGGTGGTAACCAGCTGTCCGTGGCATGTGCTGGTAGAGCTACTGTTCTGTGTTGGTTACAGGAGTAATTTGACACGGTGTTACCTACAGAAATATGTTTATTCAGCCCGGGTGGTGCACTTGGTCTGTGCAGGCGTATTCCGCATATCCTGGTATTTTTGGGGCAAAAAGAACCCTACGTTAATACAGGAAATTAACAGGGATGAGCGTTGGAGATTAGAGGGTACCCGGAGGTGCGCAGTTACATGGGCGTGCCAGCGCCTCGGAATTCCGAGTGTACGTGGAATTGCTGGTGGAATTGATGCACCAGGAAATTGCTTTCTCTATTTTTGTTGGTGAGATGCAGTTAACGTAGAAGAAGGAGCCCTTTGCATCCTGTATCCCATTTCTCTTTAATATAACTAAGATCATTTATCTTCTCGGGCGGCGAAAGGGGAAAAAAAGAATATCTGGTTTTGTAACTTGGTTCACCTTCTCTTCATTTGCTGTCAGCTCATGACAGGGCACAATGTGTGCTGCACACTGTGTTCCACAGAGCTGTTTTGGTGACTAGTACCACGTATATGAAAAAAAGGGCTATGAAAAATAGGTATTGTGCCAGTTCTTTTCACTTTTTATATAAACAACCCCCATTTATCTCTAAAAGAGATGCTCAAAAGTTTCATTTTAGGGTCTAATGCTTTGCCAGATTTCAGTGGCAAAAAGGTTGCTGTTTTACTCCTTGTAAGCATTCAGAAAGCAGCTGAAAAGGATATATTTAAATTAGTGTCTGTATTGGTTTTGCAGTAGGAAGTAGTGAAACCTTTTATTTTCAGTTTTAATAAAAAGGGAAATTGTGAAATTACTTGAAAAAATGTTTGTTTATGCTCTAGTAGCCTGTTATATGGTTAAAATTAAGAGGATTTCTTTAATCCAGGCTAGATTTTAATTGTTGTAATCACGTGTTTACTAGATTTTTTTTATATTTAAAAATGAAAACATGCAGTCATGGGTTTTTGACCTCGTGTATAGCATGACTTAGCTGTACTTCGTGCAGTATTTGTACGGTGTTTTTCCGTAAACATCTTGCTCCTGGAATTATTGGTAGCACCACAATAGGAGCTTGAAAATACTGTCACATAAAGGGTGGGATCACTTGCAAACAGGAGCACTGAAA